GGAAAAACGTGGACTGGATTCCATGTATTTAAAGGGTAATAAAATAATTGCTGATGTAATATTTTACTTTTAATTATTACAAAAAACACAAAGTAAGTATAAATAAGTATTTATATTTGTGTTGCCTTTGTTTTCAGGGTTATTAACAAAGTTTGTGTACTCAGACCAGTAATATTTGGGGTCACAAGTTTTTGCCATGAATATTTTGTGGGTCAGAAGATAAAAAGTTTGGGAACCACTGCTTTAGATCAGTGGTTCCCAAACTTTTCATCTTTTGACCCACAAAGTACCAGCAGCAGAGACCTGTGACCCCCGCTGTTGTTGGTTGATAAACGTTGTTTTCACTTCAAATTAACAGGAGCAAAATAACAATATTTTACTCTCTTTTTGTCCACTTTAGGTTCACTAAATTTACTATTTTGTACAACAAAAGCAAAAAATTGTTGTTATTTGTAATTTTTTTAGTGTAATTAATTCAGAAAATCTTTTCAGGACCCCACCTTGATGTTTTGTGACCCCACCGTGGGTCCCGACCCCAACTTCGGGAACTTTAGATAATCTTGTCAATTTCCTTTTTAAAGCTGTAAACTATAGAATCAAACATTAAAAAGGTTATTTTAAACAACAACAAATTAAGTTTGAAAGCGTTTACTCCAATTTTTTACATGCAATTCTGAAATGAGGGTATGCACTCAATGTAAACAAAGTATGGTCGACATTGTCAGCAACTGCTGCTTCCATTTTCTTCCTAAACTGAAAACGATGATGATGCTTTTATTGTCATTGTACAGAGCACAATGAAATTACAGTTAGTACAAGTAGAAAGAACAGGTGAACATGCAACCAGCAGGGGTCGCTCTACCTTTACTGTTAGAAATACACAATAGGAAAGTTGAGTTAAAAAAAACTGCTCTGACCCTTTTGTTTACATCATATGCACAAAACCCCTAAATAATTAAGATTATGTGAAGAACATTATTTTATCTGACTTTGTTCCAAATTTGATGATCTGAAAAAGTTGTTTTTGTTGTTGTTTTTCTGCTACGTTAGCAAAGTGTTGATGCTTGTCTTCACCACTTGACACATTTTGCAGGCAGTTGGTTGAGGAGCTTTGTTTACAAAACAAATACCGACATGGTTTTTAAATGATTTTCAATTCAGTTCAGTTTATTGAAATAGCGCCAAGTCACAACACACGTTGTCTCAGGACACTGTACATAAAAAGAACAATGTAAAGAAGAAAGCAGCAGAT